GCTGGGCCATCAAGCTGGCTTCATTTAGTACTTCTCAGACCAAGATTCATCCAGATAACTGAACCCTGAGTCAATTTTTATATTATTTTTATTAGCCATCATTTTAAAAGTCTACACCATTAACAAAGTCAATATATTTAGCTAGCTTTTAATATTTAATGCATTTTAACATTAATATCTAATGTTAATATTTTTTAAATTTTTTGTCATAAGGAATGATTCCTAATTTTAGCCAGGTATGATAGTGCATTCCTATAATCCCAACACACGGGAGGCAGATTAAGGAGCACTTCAGTCTTGACTACATAGTGAAACTCTGTCTGAGAAAAAAAATAGTAATAACTGTACTTCATAAAATATTTTTGCTTTGAAAGGATCTAGAATGAGGTCTGGCATATCAAAAAAGCTTGGATGCATTTATGTCAACTTAAGTTGATTAAATTGAATGAAAAATTACAAACTGCAATAAGAAACATCAGAGTTGATGACTTTGGTATATAAAATGTTAATTTCATTCTACCACTTCTGAGATAAAGCACATTTCCCGTTATCCTCTGCCCACTCTATTTTTACTGTATACACTATCAACTGTCAAGAAGTTAGTCTGTTTTAAAGAAGGGATATAAAATGGCAACTCAGCCAGTATTGAGACCAGTTTAGTGGCAAAATACAGCAAAGGTGTATGCAGCTGTGTTCTTTTGCAATCTGTTTCACCAGTTAACACTTCTCATCTAAAACATCCTGTTAAATTTTTTTACTCTATGCCAGGTGGAGATGCATATGCATTTAATTCTAGCACTGAGGAGGCAGAAACAGGTAGATCTCTGAGTTCAAGGCCAGCGTGGTCTGCAGAGTGAGTTTCAGCACAGCCAGAACTACACAGAGAAACTCTGTCTCCAAAAACCAAAAAAGAATCACTATATCACCTTAGCTAGCCTCAAATTTACAACTTTCCTGCCTATGGTACCCTGAGTACTGGGATTGTTGTAACGAACCAACACACCCAGCCTAGAAACAATTTGGATTACAAGTTCTGAAAATTCAAACAAGAAACTACTTAAAATTTCGGGCCCAAATTCAAAGTTCAGTAAATATTAACTAAAGTGTCTCTGACTCCCAAACATTCCCTCTAAAAAAAAAAGTAAACTTAGATACAGTTACATTCTTGCAGATTTTTATAACAAGATTTTGACCTTTAAAGCTTTTAAACTGGTATTTTTAAAAACTAAAAATAGAACCCAAAATTACACAGTGAAACGTGCCCTCCAATCTACTGGCAAAAATCAAAATACCCAGTACTGAAATACAAGAAAAAGCATCAAGTTTATTCAAATGATCAGAAGTCACTGTTTCAACTGTGGCACCCTTTTCTCCATACTTCACCACGCCTCTCCCATTTCCTCGTCAGTGTAACAGGAAAATGAATGCTTTAACCCTGAACAGTGGAGAATCTTTTCTTCAGCAAGGTCTGACTTTTGTATTAAGTCTATACTGTCCAAGGCAGTTACACATAAATGCCATATTTAAATGTCGTGAGGTTCACCTTGGGAAGGAATTTGTTTATTTTATAAGCTTTATTATTTAGAAGCCTGCAAATAAATGAAAACATCATACACCATTAATAGGACCAAAGTCTACATAACTCAATGAACATCTACACAGCTAAAATTCACATCTTTGGTGGTAAATAAGTACATAAAAGATATTCAATACTGAAAGTATAAAAATGTAATGTGAGGCTCCACAGCTTCTGTTCTAATTTTTTATTATTGTTTTTAAATCATTTTATGTATATGGATGTTTTGCCTGCTGTGTATGTCTGTTCACCACATGAATGCCTCGTGCCCAGAAGAAAGCACTGGATTCCCTGTAATTGAAGTTACAGAAGTTCTGAACTGACATGTAGGAATTGAACCCAGGTCCATGAGAAGAGCAGCCAGTGTTTTTAACAGCTGATCTGTCTCTCTAGTCCCAAAGTGAACGGGGGAGGGAGTTAAGAAATTAAAGTCTGAGACCAGCCCTCACAATTTCTTCTACTTTCCTTCTTTTTCCTGGTAATAGCAAACAACAGAGTTTTGTTTTGTTGGCGTGTGTACATGTGAGTGGCGTGTATTTGTATTTATGCGAGGAGAGGGGTGTCCAAGCACATACGTGTAAGCGTATATAAAGGCCAGAGGCTGATGTTCCTCCATCATTCTCCACCGGAAACATGAGGCAGGGTCACTCATTGATCCCAGAGCGCTCTGATTCAGTGTCTAGCTAGGCAGCTTGTTAATCTAGCTAGCCAACTTGCTCCAGAGGATCCACCTCCGCCTCCCAAGTGCTGTGATTGCCAGCCCAGCATTTACAAGTGTACTGGGAATCCACACTCTAATCCTCCCTGACTGCACAGTCAGTCTCTTACCCACTGAGCCAGCTCAGCCCTCCAAATCACAATCCTCCTGCCTCGCCCTCTGAAGTAAATGTGCATATAGGCATCAGTCACCCATTCCCACAGCTCAAAGATTTTTCTATTTTGATAGGAGTTTCAATGCAGCATTCAAAATTCACATATACTCTTAAATCAATTCCATTCAATATATACATGATGTAAACAAATACTAATGAACTTTCCTATTCAGGTACAACACAAATCTATACAGTGGTAGAGTCACAGAAAAACTACGATTATTAAGAATGGGAACAACGGATGCCGATTTCTTGGCCCTGTTCTCTATAGTAAAGCTTGTCTATGTCCCAAAATGAAGACAAGAAGCTGGAGTTCCTGGAGCTTTGGGAAGTTTGGAGCTGACAATAATTTTCTAACCAGAAGCTAGAAATCCTAAAAATCTCTGTCTACTTAAAATAGGGCAAATATTACAATAAAGTTGAACAAAAAAGTTTACCATACCACACCACACAACCTGGTATCCCTAATTCTTATTTCATATTCAATGGCTACTTTAAAAATGAAAGTGTCACATGACATGTAAGGAACACCAAAGGCTAGAAGCCAATCCAAAGCTCTTCCTTTGACTTGGCTTTTTTTTTTTTTTTTTCTTTGCCAAATCAAATTTATCCAAAACCAAGAGAACACGAAGCTACATTCTTTGAAAAGAAAAATACTGTGGTTACTTGGTGTAAAGACAAACAGCTGACGGTTGGTGGAGATGGCTCAGTAGTTAGTGCTTGCCACACAAGCCTAAGGAACTGAGTTTGATTCCCCAAAATACATGTTTAGGAAAAAAATAATAACGGGTACCTCACCATACCTATAATCCCAGCGCCGGGGAGACAGGGAGGGGAAGCGCCCTAGATACTGCTGGCCAGCCAGTCTAGCCAAATCAGCAAGCCTGGGCTTCAGTAAGGCAAGGTGGGAAGCAACTGAGGAAGACACTAAATGACTGCCTCTGGCCTGCGCGCGCGCGCGCGCACACACACACACACACACACATGCACACACGCACACACAGCTGAATCACATAAGCAAAAATTTCACGATAAGCAAAACTCTCCAAGGTATTATTTTAAAATTACTTCATTTGCTGCCCGGTCAGGAAAGCTAACCTCCAAGGCCGCCAGAAACAATCTATTTGTGTCACTGGGGGCCCCTTCAATCCACCCAGGACATAAAACTGTCAAAATCTGATGGCAACAACAGTAAAGTACCAAGTGCAGGGCTGTGTTTTGTTTACAAGTACAAACTTCAAATAAAACTTACACCTCCAAAGGGGTAAGGCCAACGTGTCCTTAAATTTCCTCTAAGTTCCCTCCCTTGACACTTCTTCCCTTTCCTCTTCTTGGAGAGGAGAATGGGACGCCGAATTAACAGTCACAAGGCTGAAAACAGTTCCCGGAGGGTGCACGAATTTACAATGCTCGGTTGGCAGTGAGCTCGGTGGACACACACACACACACACACACACACGCGCGCGCACACACACACACTAATGCTCAGAGGACGCTTTCAAGAAATGTCACTATGTAACAAAAGTTTTACCCTCTTACTTAGGCCTCAGGCCAGCCCTATCCAGTCGGTACACTGTGAAACACAGCCTGGAAAGGGCTCCACTCTCCAAGAGTTTTCCTATAATGCTCGAACCGGAAAGAGCACGGAGATTCTGGACCCCCTCAGCACGGCCGCCTCTCACGTGGAAGGCAGGCCGGCGCATGTGAATCCAAACGCCACCCCATCAGTTTTGTGACAGAGCCACTGGGAGCATCCGACTGCGATCCAGGGCCCTCCAGGCCGCGGGAAGAGGAACACAAATGCAATCTTCGGGGCCCTCCTACTTCCGTTCTCAAAACAGAAATGCTGTCTCGCCTAAGCCCTCAGCCCCGCACCTCTTCCAAAAAGCTTCGACGGAGAGAGGTGCGGATCGTGGCGGTCAAGGGTGGCTAGAAGAGATGGTTCGAAGCCCCTCCGCCCCGACTCCGTCCGAATCTGCCTCCAGAGCTTCCCGGAGGCCTCTGCCCCCTCCTCCCGGGCCAGGGGCCGCGGAGGAGCGGGAAAAGGAACTAAGTGACCCGCAAGGATGCCCGGAGAGATCGCGCGCAGAGGGGGTGGGGAGGTGGGCGCCGACGCGCAGCGGAAGGAAGGGGAGAGGAAGAGCGCCAGAAGGGGACGCGACTTGAGGGATGCGGCCGTGCCCGGGCTCCGGGAGACGCGGCTGCGAGCCAGGGCCGAGGGGGCGACGTCCCCTCTCGGCCACGCCTCGGACTGCGGGCGAAAGGCTGCGGCCCGCCCCGTCGGAAGGCAAGCGCGGTACTGCGGACCCGCGGTCCTCCCGGGGGTGCCTGGTGCTCCCGGGGTCGGCGGTGCACACAAGATCCGCGCGTGTGCCCGGGAGCCCCACGATGCACCCGGGGTCGGTGGCTGCTGCCGGGGGGCTGGAGGGTGTCCCCGGGTCAGGGACGGTGCTGCCGGGGGCCAGCGAGTGACCCCAGGGGCAGCGGCCACCGCACGCCCCGCCGCCGGGAGAGGCGGCTCCGGGAGGCAACCGGGCGCCACGGCCGGTTACCTGAAGCGGGGCGAGTCCTTCAGACACTCCTCGAAATCCACCGTCATCTTCATCTCGCCTCCGCCTGGCCTCGCAGGCAGCGCCGGAGGAGCCGCGGGAGCTGCGGGACTCGGGGAGCGGAGGCACCGGGAATCCGGGCGGCGTCGGCGAGCGCTCGACCGCCTCTAGCGCTGCGCGGGGCTGCGGAGGGCGCTGCGCTCCCTGGGCATAGCAGCCGCGAAGACTGCAACGGCTCGGCAGGCCCCGGCCGCCTCTTCCTCCGCCCCAGCTGAGCGCCGGCTGGGGGAAAACGCCCCGGAGTGACAGCCGCGGCCAGCCAGCCACCGAGCCGCGGCCCCGGGAGGGGCTTCCGGCGGCACCGCCCGCGGGAGGCGCACAGCCGCTGCCACAGCCAACCGCGGTGCCCGGGCGTCGTTAGGCGGGATGCACGGGTTGCTAGGAGGCCGGCCACGCAGGCGCGCTGGGGAGGAAGGAAGTCACGTGGCCGGCCTCTTTCGCCCCGCCCTCAGGTCCAAAGGGAAGATGTACTCTTTAAAGCAGCTCTGGCAGCAATCTGTAGAAGGGTCTGGGAGTAGAGGTTGTGACAAGGAAGGGACTGGACTAAGCCTTTCGGTTTAGAGAAACTGAGGCCAGGAAAGGCGTGGGGGCATCTTTGTTAACCTTCCCGCGTATTGTTTCCGCCGGTTCATAATTTGGAAATTGCTCCTACATACAACTTATATAATCAGAGACTGTTTCTTGAAAGAAGGTTTCAATGGCTAGCTTACATGAAAATCACCCTTTAAAGTATCCGTAAAAATGCATAGGTGGGGTGTTTTAACCCAGTGGCTGTGGAACGCTGGAGGCAAACTTCTAGAGTTATCTTCTAGCTTTCCCAGCTTCAAAAATAACAGCACTGATTTGTCCAGTTGACACAATGCCACATAGTAATAATCCAGTTAAGTGTTGCTTGTTGTAATTGTACCGCTGTCTCCTTTACAGGTGAATCAAAGGTCAGGCCTCAGCCTGCTCACTGTTGCTATCTAAAGTTCTGTTTTACCTTTGACTATTTGCCTAAATTACAGAGTAAATGCATGCTATTTTTCATAACCTCCAGCTATACCTCGATTGCTTCTGCACGTTCAGAAAGTACCTGCGTAATGCTGAAACTTCTCGAAGAACACTCATTGTATATGATTCTCCTTTCGTTAGAAACTTGATTTCTTTTTGTTATCATTGAATTCTACATCTCAGTGATCTATGTGGAGTCCTCTTGATAGCTAGGAACTACACACTGTTAAATACTCTGTTCTCAAATGTATCAACTGGTCAGGCTAATCGTTTCAAAGATTGTAACTTTACCAAGAGAATTACCCAGTTATACTACATTTAATTAATGATTTGTGACAACTTATCAGCATATGCAATAATGTATTGTGTCAGTGTTTCATCATTGTGTTGCAAGATCCTTAAAAGTGGTATTTGGGGGAGGAGGAAGTCTTAAATATAAGGCCATCCTAGGCTGCATGGTGACGTTCTCTTTTAAGTAACATAGACATAGTAACAAAAACCGTGTGCTACCGGCACAAACCCAGACAGGTAGAGCTGTGGCATAGCACTGAGAAGCCAGAGTGAAAACCACACCCCTACACCACCAAGTCTTTGACAGAGGTGTCAAAAACTGGGGAAGCCGCCCAACATGTACTTCTAGCACACAGGCACGGGCACACACACGTGCATACACCACAGACATATTCAAAAAGCTTCTACATAGCATTTTTTTTATTTTTAAAAATTGAAAACAAAATCTAAGTAAAGAGACAGCCTGTAGAATGGGAGATTAGTATCTAGAATCTGTAACGACAAGAAAAGAAAAGAAAAGAAAAGAAAAGAAAAGAAAAGAAAAGAAAAGAAAAGAAAA